AATTGTCATTAAAAAATTGTGTACGAAAAAATAATTTTTTAATTTAATTTTTTTTTTATTTCAAGTTTTTTATAATTTATATATGTAATTATATTTTATATAACGAAGCGCGTATTTGCATCAGTCGTTAGACGAAAAGCTTCTCTAATTACTCTGAAATTTTAAAAACAGTTCAGAGTTGAATTTATTAGTTTTAAAATTTTATAATTTCGACATTTTATTTTATTGTATAAGCAAAATTAACACAATTTTGCTTACCCACACATTTTTTACGCTGTATATGATTTGCAATTAAAAACTAAATAACCAAAATTTTTTTTAGTTCATTATGACATTGACAAATAATCACCACCATAAACAAAAATACTAATAAACCTATTTATTCCACATGACTTTTGTTAATGCCTGCCATAATCTAGTCAAACACAGACCGCCCTTGTTAAGCAGTAAAACTGATAAAGGATAATGAACTCTAATTCTTTTGACTGTTTCATAAATTAAAGAATCACGCTCAGATTAGGTGCGTACAAATATTAATATTACACACATCATACCTACATAAATATAACTCCATCAGTTGGAACTTGAATCAATAAAACAAAAAATAAGGAAAAAACTTAAAACAGAAACATCTGTTTAATGTTAATACAATAATTTTCCTATTAGACAACCAAAATTCACGTTCCATGGAAAATTTATATCGCAAAAACCAACACTCGCGTCGCATTATTAATTTTGTGTTACAGTATAATTGTTTTAATTATAATTAACATCAGGCATACGCCTTCATATAATCAATAAACGCCACATAAAATATAGATTTAAACACCTACACCCTGTTAAATGAAAAACGTTCAAAAGAGTCACTCACAGTCGGGTATTATATATAACATTTTATATAGATAATAGACAGACCATGTAATCGCTGCTTTTATTTGTTCCTCATTTTATTTTTAATCAAGATAAGGCTCTGTCAGTCTGTTGTCCAAAAGCGTGATACTTGTATTGGTATTAGTGATAATTACATGGCGTAACTAAATTAAACCAGGCAGATTTATACATTTTCAGAAATTCCACCCACATTAAGCGGTCACTCGTCATTTTCTGCTTTTGCAACAAATATCACACAATAAACTCGTGTTCGATAACAGAAATATTTTCACTGCATTATATCAAAAATTACTATTCTCAGAAGCCGAAGCAAAAATCTACCTAGCTTTTAGTAATAATTTAACAAAATAATTGGAATTTATTTACACAACCACATGACGCACCCTATATATACTTGCTTTAATTCAATTAATTTTATTTAGAATTTCGGCGTATAATTTGCAAACAAAACTGCGCTAAAAGTTGTGGGTTCTCTACCACCATGTTTATAAACATAAGTAATCAGACAGATCGTCTTTGTGCGAGTTTTCCAGCAAAACAACTATCAACTTTTCCTGGGAACAATCTGCAAAACGCTGAAAGTTGCATGTGAACAGTTAGCGTTGCGGTTGTGGTTTTGATAAGAATGAAAAGCGGTGCATGTAAAAGCGTCCTGTATACAACTGGGGGCGGCACGGCGAGAGCTTGAAACAGAGCAGCAACGAGCAGCACATTTCCGGGAGCGGTTGGCGCGGAAGCGCCACCATTGTGTGTGACGTCGTAATTAACAAACTAAACTTAACATGTGCTTTCCTGCCGCCATTGTACTCTTTAAATTAATGAGCCGGTTTCCTTTCAATATAACTCCTATATCAAGTGACCCGTGCCGGCCGCCCCCGGACGGCGGATTTCATTTACATACTTCTGTCCGAGCGACCGCCGCCTCCACAAATTATGTTTTTATTGTAAACTACAAAAGGCGAACCGGGCTCATTAGCGAAAGTAGCGGGATTTATTCCAGAGGCTGGTTGTTTTTTCGTAAAGCTTCAGCGCTTTTTTGACGATGGTCACAACTCTGTTGCCATATAAACTGACTAGGAAATTATTATTTCAACCGTTTTTTTTTTTATACTGGTGATAGTCAATGCTGAAAAACATTCACGATTCCAAATGGTGTAAAATTTTATAAGCAATCTAATATAAATTTTATGCTTTTGTTATCAGAAAATTCTCAGTTAACAAAAATTATTTTCTACAAAAAAAGCATATTATAGCGTTTTATATTGAATTATTATTATTATAAGTTCATGTATTCTTTCTGGATTGAGTTCCTTTTGTCATTTTCAAATTTTTGGGAAAATTTTGAAAATGACAAAAGGACGTACCTATACGAAAAATGTCTGAAAAAAATCAAGCAATTAACAGCAAATCAAAATAACAGCAGAAGAAATAATTTGTCGATTTATTTTCCTATTCATATACATTTATACAACAGAAAAATTTATTTTGGTAATAAATTACACACTTATAGGACTTCATTGTTGTATAACAGTTAAGGGTTAGTTTCATAATCAAAACTTAAAGGACCTTTAACTAATGGGACCTTTAAACCACTGGCTCAACATGTGTTTCCATGATAAAAATCCAATTTTAATTTTAAAGCTGCTTTAACTTGATTATGAAATCGGCCCTTAATCAAATAAACATAAAATTCTTTGAAATGACGTCATCAAATTATTGGTGGGGATGATTAGCAAATCATGATATTTCTAATATACGTCCAAATTCGACAACAATCGGTCCAGCAGTTTCGGAGATTACGTGTCTAATAGAAATGGATACAAACACCAGACAGACGGAAACGGGAGACTACTTTTTTCGTACTCTAGGGGTCATGAAACGTCCAGAAAATATAAACTGGCCATTCGTCGTATGGACTCGATTACTATACTTCCTTAGCTTACGCTTGGGAAGTAAGAATAACTTTCCAGAATTGTTTTCTTTTTTCTATACATTTATACAGCAGAAAAATTTATTTCGACAATTAATTTTTTAATCGAATAATGAGTTTCATTCCGTAAAATAACGTCATCAATTCTTGGAAAGAATTGTGTCATGTACATTATTAATTTTCTCTACAAAGAAAAATGTCTCTAAATTTTGTAAATTTAAGTAAACGTTTTCCCCGAATGCCATAATAGTGTTCCCATATAAATTGATTATTTTTGAATAAAGAAATGATTATTTCAATTGTTTTGCTAGCCTGGTAATTTATTTGTCCCCTGTTGAAAAACCTACACGATCAAAATTTATGTAAAACTGTAATACGCAAATGTAGAAATTTAAAATAATTATGTAGTGCGGGTTCTGATTAATTATTTCTTTACGCAAGTGCGACTTATGGCTTAATGTATTTTATGTATGCTCGGGTTCTGGCTCATTTCCGGCTAAGGTTAAGTAACTTCGGACAATCTTACTTACTTATGTGAGGCATTTAATAAATTTTTGAAATGGAAATATGTCAGTCCTTCCTACTTTCCGTGTTTTTTGACATCAGATATATTTTTATTGTAATTATGGCGGTCCTATATACTTGCCATTAGGTTGCTAATTTAATTAACAGCCTCCACATTGGTGTCAAACAATTCTTAAAAAATTACTAACTCTTAATAGCCTTCTCTAGCACACAAGTTAAGTTTTTTGTTTCCAATTTGAGACACAGGTAATTTGCTACACTTTTTAACAGTAGCAACAGATTTAGTGACTTTACAGGAACTCATACCTACACCAAAGATTGAGCTAGAACCTCCACTACATAATCACTATTTTATGTCGCTGATTAAGGGATGGATTATAATAACGCTTTAAGTTTAACTATTAAATTTAAAAGCTCGTTTATTCTTTCTAGATTTATCATTTAAAAAAAAATTGTATCAATGATTTTTGAAATCAAGTAGTAAAGAATATTATTCCGTAAAATTACGTCATAAATATTTGGGAGGAATATACACACTTCATTAATTTTTCCGTTCAGAAAAATGTTTCGTAAATTCGATACACAGTCCACGTCTCTTAAAAACACTTTTTCCAATTCCTCATAATATTGTTGCCATATAAATTGATTATTTTCTACCTAAACTACCCAAACAAGATCAATTTTTGTGTTCTCCTTAGATATATTCCAGTTTGTTAAATTGGTTGTAAAGTTACACTTATAATAAGACAATTTTAAACATTGCAACTATTCAGTCATAATCCTATTTTAATAATAATCACTTCTAGATAAAATAAAGACATTTGTATCCCGGAAATTGACCTAATTATCACGTTAAGCGCATCTATCCCGAAAATATTCCCTGCAATCCTCCTCTTTGTGAATGCGAAACGATGCTGAGTGTAATCTGCTGGGGAGAATTCGTAAATAACAAATTGTTTGTTGTTGGAGGGGCATATTTCGGTGCAAAATTGAAATTTAAACAGGAGAGAGCAGAAATCATATATCAAACACAATAAGATATATGAATCAGTGAGACACATTTTATGCAAATTAACGAAAATCTCATACATAGAGATTGCCGTTTTCGGGAAATTCGGCTTTATGCTGGGACGCCCTACGGTGGTGTGTCTGGGGCTGGGTCAACACGGACTGCTTACAGTTCGCTTTCGAGCATATATCCATATTAATGTTACCATATTTCATTATCTCATTCATATGGAAATCTCAAACAATTAGTCAAAATTCCACCACCAACTTTGCGCTGCTCTTATTTAGTCTTTACCGAATAATACTTGATTTAGCAAAATTCACAACCAGGTGGTGTCGCCACCACGTTGAAACGATGTGTATCAGAATTTAATTATACAGAACTACGAGTCAAAAAACGTGCATTCTCTCGCTATTTCTGTCTCCGTCTTCGTCCTACTTTGACAAGTGATTGTACCCTTTCAATAAACTTGTTTTCATGAAGTCAAGCGAGCCAATGACGTTATCAAGAAAAAAACAAATAAGTGTACTAAGCAGACCCCCAAAGCGGAGTTAATCCCTAGATTTCCAACAAATTACATTTTTTGAGCTTGTCCCGTACGTTTATTGTTTTATCACCGTTTAATATTTTCATGTAGTGTATAAATATCACTTTACTAGAAACAACTTTGGCAGTAGCTTGCACTACACAATAAATAAATATCAATATGAGCAAAATTTTTTTGGTGGTTCTATTTTCACAAATTTAATTTTTATTTTTAATAATTTGATAAATTTTGCAGGTTATAATTTTGTCCATACAACTACTTACAGTTACAGCATTGTACCAGGAAAGTTATGATGCTAACATCTACACTGCGATGCAAAGAAGGTTGTATTCACGATACTTACTGGAAGATAATTATTTAAAATTCTGTCGCCAAGTAAGTTCTAATTGTTCAGTCTAAGCACAAAAATTGATGCTTTTTCAGGATTTGTGGTGCGTAGAGAAAGAAGAACCAATTAAACAAAATAAAAAGCTGATTATGTCAAACGACAACGAGATGAAAGTGACCTGTATATATTGCTTCAATCCAGTATGTACCATATTTTGAAAAATATAACAATAGCGACAAAGAAATTTCAGAGAGAGACGCTTAAACCCAAATCCGGGGTAACTCAGTTGAAATCTGTGACACGTTTCGAACAAGTTGGTGACAATTGCTATCAACGTAGACATCCGCTTAAAGTTTCAAACGGATGCAATTGCAGACGAAATTGAACCAATAACAACTTTAAAACTATAAAAACATGCATAACAAATAAAGTAAAATTAAAAAAAAAAAATCAAATGGTTTCAATTTTGAACTTTTTACCATAATTAAACAAAAATTACGTTCACTCTTTGTTTGTTTAGTCATTTGGTGAGATTTAAAAAATATAAATATTTAAATATCTTGAGGATAAAAACAAGAGTTAGACCAGTTTTTGGAATGATATCATCAAATTTATACTGGGGACAAATATTGTGTTTTACTTTATGAACACTCTATGTGCATTGTTAAAATAATATTCAATGTACTTAATTTCTGAATAATTTTACCTGAGATGACGTAATTCATTTTATGCAAAGGAGGAACTAAATTTCTAATCATATTCAGGTAATGTTAATTTTAAATAGTTTTGTTTGTAGTTTCTTTAAATTTAAAATATGGGTGAAAATATAACTTTTGTAGTCCAACGTTTTAGTAGTTGTTCTATAAATAACGTACATTCAAATTTTGGTGTTATCAAAGATATATACAAAATTACAACATGCGGTAAATTGAAAGCAGTGCTAATCTCCAGATTTACCTACATTCACAAAATTAACTATTCAAAGCTCACCACTCAAGTTATAGTTTTATTAATTTATGGCATCATCAGCCAAGGGCCGCAACTCTATAATTATAGGTTTGACATAACAGTTCTAGTCGGTTTCGGACGACGAAACATAGGATAACTACTATGGTTAAGCTATATCTGGTTAACTTCGAATTTTTGAGTTAGTTTTGGTAATTTTGAATATGCATTTCTAGTTTATGTTTTTCTGCATCCACGTTAAAGCCTTTCTTGATTACGAAAACCTCAACTACCTACCAAGATGTTTTCCTGAAGCATATGTTATGTTACCTTATCAAGCAAAATCCACGATTTGGGAGATAACTTTCACTTGAAAATATGCGCAAAAGTAAATAAATTAGTCAAAAAACGACTCAAAATAAAATCAGTGCAAAAAAACTCTATCGCGATTTTTCAGGATTTTTGGTGTTACGAAAAGTTAGAAAAACTGGAATTAAACGACGATACTCCAATACTATCAAACAGTAATGAAATGAATATTACCTGCTTCTTTTGCTAGAATTCGGCAAGTACCAATTTTTTGATTTTACAACACTGTCCAAACTCAATGAACGATTTCTGGAAATAACATAATTTTAAGATAAAATAGTATGTCTAGAAACATCACTGCATATACATGTATGTATAACTACTTCCAGAGTCTTGTTGAACATTTCAGTGATAGAATAACAGACCAGATCCAACAAAAAAAATCTGTCCATATATTTGTTCTGATGGCCTTAACAATAATGAGTTTGAAGTAAATGATGGCTGCCACTGTTAGTAGAATAAATCTTTCCAGATCGAACCTTAAGGGGGTTGGTTCATCGCTGTATTTAACATACAAGTTATGAAATAAAGGTTGTTAAGATTATTATCAGTTGTAAGTTTAATTTCATTATCTACATAAAAGAACATGACGTTGTTGCGAATGAGAACGAGCTGACACTAAATGCTCAGAATATTACCTGTGAAACTTGCTACAACATGGTGTGTTGAAAAAAATATGCGCTGTTGTCATTGCTACACTTAAATAATATTTTTAGACCGCCAAGGCGCTTACGACATCCGTAACTCAAGAAAGGCATGTGACACTTTTCGAAAAAGAATCGAACACTCGATATCGTCTTATTGCACACAGCAGAAGAATTAATGATAGATGCAAATGTAGTACCAAGTGATTGTATTTTTAACTAGACCCAAATACATTTTTCAAGCCTTTTTACGTATTTTATTTACCCCTTAAAAGTATTAGTTTATTTTTTACAATTGGTTTGTAATCAGTTCAGAATATAGTTTTCACTGCAAAGATATTATAGGTATACTCCGAATTATCGATTATAACAATTGTAAAATCAAAATATCAACTTTAGTAGTTATTCTTTAACACAACTGAAATTCTATCAAATTTATTTTCACATTTTCCATAATTTAAGTTTATGCAAAATTTTACAACACAATTTCGGTTTCAAAATCAAAATTTTTATTTTTTACAATTGGTTTTTAATCAGTTCAGAATATAGTTTTCACTGGAAAGGTATTATAGGTATGCTCCGAATTATCGATTATAACAATTGTAAAATCAAAATTACAACTTTAGTAGTTATTCTTTAACACAACTGAAAATCTATCAAATTTATTTTCACATTTTCCATAATTAAAGTTTATGCCAAAATTTTACAACACAACTTCGCTGTAAATTTTAATGTTGGTTTCAAAATCAAAATTTTTATTTTAGATTTTTTTGTAGCTTAGAACTGAAAATAAATAAACATTTTAGAAGTTTCGAAAATATGGCAAAATTTTAAAGCGTCAATGAAATAAATTTTTTTAAATAGCAATAATAATAATATCACTGTATAATAAATCAATGTTGGCATCTAAGCTTCTAAATTATGAACTCTATACAAAAACTCAGAAATTTCAAATTTTACGTCCACAGCTGTAGACATAAATTCCAAAAGGGTTATTCTGACGAATGTTTTTTCTGAAATTTCACTGCTCGCAAAATACGAAAATACAGATTTCCTCTTAGACTGCCTATAGTCTGTTAATGATATTATTAGAACAATAACCTTCGAAACTACTGAACTGGTTACGGTGGTGTGTCTGGGGCTGGGTCAACACGGACTGCTTATAGTTCGCTTTCGAGCATATAACAATTAGTCAAAATTCCACCACCAAACTTGCGCTGCTCTTATTTAGTCTTTACCGAATAATAAATAATTTATTTAGGAAAATTCACAACCAGGTTGTGTCGCCACCACGTTGAAACTATGTGTATCAGAATTTAATTATACAGATCTATAAGTCAAAAAACGTGCTTTCTCTCTCTATTCCTGTCTCCGTCTTGGTCCTACTTTGACAATTCGAGTGATTGTAGCCTTTCAATAAACTTTTTTTTATAAATAGATACTAAGGAGAACCAATAACGTTATCTAGAGAAAAACAAATAAGTGTACCAAGCAGACCCCCAAAGCGGAGTTAATCCCTAGATTTCAAACAAATTAAATTTTTTGAGCTTGCCCCTTACGTGTATTGTTTTATCACCTTGTAATATTTTCATGTAGTGTATAAATATCACTTTACTAGAACCAACTTTGCCAGTAGCTTGCACTACACAAGAAATAAATATCAATATGAGCAAGATCTTTTTGGTGGTTCTATTTTACTAATTTATTTATTATTTTTAACGATTTGATAAATATTGCAGGTTATAATTTTGTCCATACAACTACTAACAGTAACAGCATTCTACCCCGAAAGTTATGATGTTGACATCTACACTGCGATTAAAAGAAGCTTGTATTTACGAAACATACCGGAAGATAGTTGTCAACTAAAAATGTGTCGCTCAGTAAGTTCTAATTTTTCAGTCTAAGCACGAAAAAATTCATATTTTTTCAGGATTTGTGGTGCCTGGAGTCAGGTGAACCAATTAAACAATATCATGAGCTGAAGATGTCAAACGACAAGGAGATGAAATTGATCTGTGTATATTGCTTCAATCCAGTATGTACCATATTTTGAAAAATATAACAATAGCGACAAAGAAATTTCAGGAAAAGACGTTTAAACCCAAACCAGGGGTAACCCAGTACAAAAATGTGATACGTTTCAATCAAGTTGGTCCTGGTTGTTACAGACCTAAAGATCAGCTTAAAGAAGTCCCAAACGGATGCAAGTGTCCTAAGTGAACCAATAACAACGTTAAAACTATAAAAACATACATAACAAATAAAGTAAATTAAAAAAAAAACAAATGGTTTCAATTTTGAACTCTTTACGATAAATAAACCAATTTCCTTCAGTCTTTATTTGTTTAGTCATTTGGTAAGAGTTAAAAAATATAAATGTTTAAATATCTTAAGGGTAAAAACAAAAAATTTGGACCAGTTTTTGGAATCATATCATCAAGTTTATAATGGGGACAAATATTCTCTTTTACTTTATGAACACTATATGTACATTGTAAAAATAATATACTCGTACAATGTAATTTCTGTATAATTTTACTTGAGATGACGTCGTTAATTTTATGCAAATGAGGAACTAAATATCTAATAATATTCAGGTAATGTTAATTTTAAATAGTTTTGTTTGTAGTTTCTTTAAAATTAAAATTTGAGTGAATTCCTATCTTTTGTAATACAACTTTTTACAACTTTTTCTATAAACAACATATATTCTAATTTTGGCGTTATCAAAATTATTTACAAAATCACGACATGCGCTAAATTGAAAGCAGTGCTAATCTCCAGATTTACCTACATTCACAAAATTAACTATTCTAAGCTCACCACTCAAGTTATAGCTTTATTATTTTATGGCATCACCACCTAAGAGCTACAACTCTATAAATATAGTTTTCGCGTAACAGTTCAAGTTTGTTGCGGACGATGAAACATAGGATAACCACTATGATTAAGCTATATCTGGCTAACTTCGAATTTTTCAGTTAGTTTTGATAATTTCGAATATGTATTTCTAGTTTATGTTTTTCTGCATCCACGTTAAAGCCTTTCTTGACTACGAAGACCTCAACTACCGAGATGTCATCCAGAGGCACATCCACGATTTGGGAGAGAACCTTCACTCGAAAATTTGTGCAAAAGTAAGTAAACTAGTCGAAAACTGTAGCGCGAGTTTTCAGGATTTTTGGGGTTATGAAAAGTCAGAAAAACTGGAATTAAACGAGGACACTCAAATAATGTTGGATAGTAATTACCTACTTGATTTGCTACAATGCCGTAAGTAAAAATTTTCAGAAAAATTTAATTGAAACAAATGAAGTGTAAATAAAACAATTTTTAGATAAATGTCTAAAACAATTACATAGGGCATTCCACGTCAAATCGACCACTTTTGAACCCGACCCCTTTCGAGTTTGATGAAATTTTTATGTTTTTTTCCTACCCCACTAAAGATCTTTCTGAGAATTTTTTCAAATTATTTTATCTCGTCAAAAAAAGTTATAAAATTTTCAAAAAAATTGCTCTTTTTTTTCAAAAATTAAGTTATCGGGACGTTTTTTTTTTAATTTTTGTCTTCAAGGTACATTTCAGAAAAAAATTGAAAAAAAATTTGATTTGATGTTCTATCAGATTTTTCAATTTTTTGAGAAAAACCGTCAATTTCTCAAAGTCCGAAATTTTTGATTGTTTTAAAAAATTCCCAGAAACGTCTTTAGTGGGGTCGAAAAAAATATAAAATTTCAGCAAAATCGAAACGGGTCGAGTTCAAAAATGGTCGATTTGGCATGGAATTACCCACATGTATATATACTTTCAGAGCCTTGAACATTTCAGTGATAGAATAATACATGTGCAACAAAACAAATCTGTCCAAATCTTTGTTCATGAAGGGAAATGCTATCGCCTTAAAAATAATGGACTTGTAGTAAATGATGCCACTACTACTGCCACTGTTAGAAGAATAAGCTTTCCAGATCGATAAATGGGTTTATCTCTATATTTAACAAGCAAAATATAAAATAGAGATAATTAAGTTTAATTCTGGAATTTCCATTATCTACATAAACGTATTAGAAAATCTATATTATTTGAAAAAGCTTATTAAGCTCTGATGTCCTTAATTAATATTACAAACATTCTTAATGCAAATGATCAGATCGTGGAAAATATTTATCAACGCACATAATGACGAACTGATAAATAAATCATACCTTCCGACGTATCGTGTACACAAATCAATTCAAATATTCCGTTACAAAAATAAGTGCAACGTCTATATTTGTAATGTAATTTGCTTCTATGAACTTTCTAAGCTCTCCACCGAACAATCGAGCTGTCAACATTATCAATTACTTTGATGTCACAAAAAGATAACCATATATACAGAGAACACGAACGTAAAAATGACTAGTTGTGTATAAATAACATTTAGGCAAATAGCTGCAAAATGATCAACTTAAACAGGGTTTTTATTACATTGTCAAAAATATATTTTTTGTAAAATTTTCATGTTTTTAGCTTGTCTTCTTGTATTGTTGCCTAATGGCAATTGCCGCAGGTACTCGTCTTTACAAATATTTTCCTGACTTATTCGACGACGAAGATGTTGGGGCCTTAATAGTGGCAAGGAACTCGTTGACAAATCGCAGTCAAAATGTCAGAAAATTTTGTGGGGTAAGTAGAAACACATTTTTAAATTTGTTTCGAAAATAATTTTTTAGGACCTTATTTGTATAGAGAAAGAACATGACGTTGTTGCGAATGAGAAGGAGCTGATCCCAAATGCTCGGAATATTACCTGTGAAACTTGCTACAACATGGTTTGTTGAAAAAAACATACGCTGTTGTCATTGCTACTCTTAAATAAAATTTTTAGACTGCCAACGCGCTTGCGACACCCATAACTCAAGAAAGGCATGTGACAGTTTACGAAAAAGAATCGAACACTTGCTATCGTCTTATTACACAGAGCAGGAGAATTAATGATGGATGCAAATGTAGTACCAAGTGATTGTATTTTTAACTAGACCCAAATAAATTTTTCAAGCCTTTTTACGTATTTTATTTACCCCTTAAAAACATTTTAGTTTATTTTTTACAATTGGTTAATTTTAATCAATTCAGAATATAGTTTTCACTGGAAAGGTATTATATACTCCGAATTATCGATTATAACAATTGTAAAATCAAAACATCAAATTTAGTATTATTTAACACTACTGAAAATTTATCAAATTTATTTTCACATTTTCCATAATTTAAGTTTATGCCAAAATTTTACAACACAACTTCGCTGTAAATTTTAATGTCGGTTTCAAAATCAAAATTTTTATTTTAGATTTATTTCTGGCTTACCAAAGTGTCAACAAAATTTCATTTTATCGTAACTTATTAATTGGTTATATTATTTCAAATATAACATGTGTGTATGTATTTATGCTTTTTAGCTAAAAACAAGCTACCTCAGCCATACTCCACCCCTGCCCTTTATTCCAACGCAAATAAAAATTGAAAACAAATTAACTTTTTAGAAGCTTAAAAAATATGGCAAAATTTTAAAGTGACAATGAAACCATTTTTTTTTTATAATAATAATAATAATATCACTGTATAATATATATAGATGTTGGTATCTAAGCTTCTAAATTATGAACTCTATGCAAAAACTCAGAAATTTCAAATTTTACGTCCACAGCTGTAGGCATATATTCCAAAAGGGTTATTTTGACGAATGTTTTTTCTGAAATTTCACTACTCGCAAAATACCAAAATACAGATATTCCCTTAGACTACCTATAGTGTGTTAACGATTGTTTTAGAACAATAACCTTCGAAACTACAGAACCGGTTACCGAAAAATTTATTTTTAGTTGAAAAGCATCCTAAAAATTTGTCTATTTATCCCCTTTAAATGTGATGAGCCTAACTCAAAATATTGTATTTGAAATGTACAATTCAGTTTTGATACTTTTGGTTTAAAAATTCATTCTTATTTTTGAATCAGCATGCACAAGTTACTCTAAAAAATCAGTTTAAACCGTCAAATGATTGTTTGAAAAAAAAACTGATGTTCCTCAATAACATGCTAAAGGAGAGAGCAAATGTTATTCAAGTTCTTACTCAACATTTCCTTCACACTTACCTACGTACTTTATCTTTATCATATTTTGTAAATACTTATTAATATATTTTTTAATATTTCTTGCGGGTTATTCAAAAGTCGTCATATTTAGAACTATAGAAAAATTAAAATTATATTCAGGTAATGTTAATTTTAAATAGTTTTGTTTGTAGTTTCCTTAAATTTAAAATATGAGTGAACTCGTATCTTTTGTAATCCAACGTTTTACTACTTTTTCTATAAATAACATATATTCTAATTTTGGCGTTATCAAAGATATTTACAAAATCACGACATGCGCCAAATTGAAAGCAGTGGTGATCTCCAGATTTACCTACATTCACAAAATTAACTATTCTAAGCTCACCACTCAAGTCATAGTTTTATTAATTTATGGCATCATCACCTAAGGGCCGCAACTCTATAAATATAGGTTTGAAATAACAGTTCAAGTCTGTTTCGGACGATGAAACATAAGATAACCACTATGGTTAAGCTATATCTGGTTAACTTCGAATTTTTCAGTTAGTGTTGATAATTTCGAATATGTATTTCTAGTTTATGTTTTTCTGCATCCACGTTAAAGCCTTTCTAGACTACGAAGACCTCAACTACCGAGATGTCATCCTGAGGCACATCCACGATTTGGGAGAGAACCTTCACTTGAAAATTTGCGCAAAAGTAAGTAAATTAGTCAAAGACGGACTCAAAAGAAAATCAGCGCAAAAAACTGTAGTGCGATTTTTCAGGATTTTTGGTGTTACGAAAAGTCAGAAAAACTGGAATTAAACACTCAAATGATGTCGAACAGTGATGAAATGAATATTACCTGCTTGTTTTGCTACAATGCCGTAAGTATAAATTTTCAGAAAAATTTCGTTGAAACAAATGAAATGTGAATGAAATAATTTTAAGATAAATGTCTAAAAACATCGCTGCATATAATAATAATAATAATAATAATAGTATTTTACTCCAGCAGACAATAGTCTATAGTGGATTACTTTCCAACAAACAGTTTCACAAATTTTAAATATATAAAAATACAAATAAAACAACGAAATTAATTAATCACATAACTATTACACTTATAATATACATGGGGCATTCCATGCCAAATCGAACAGTTTTGAACCCGACCCCTTTCGAGTTTGTTGAAATGTTTATCTTTTTTTCTAAAGACGTTTCTGAGAATTTTTTGAAATATTTTTGCCCCACCAAAAAAGTTTTGAAATTTTCAAAAAAATAGCTCTTCTTTTTCAAAAATTAAGTTAACGGGAGGTTTTTTTTTTAATTTTTGTCTTTAATGTAAGTTCAGACAAAAATTGGAAAAAAATTGATGTGAGGTTCTATGAGATTTTTCAACTTTTTTTAGAAAAACTGTCAATTTCTCAAAGTCCGACATGTTTGATTGTTTTAAAAAATTCTCAGAAACGTCTTTATTGGGGTAGAAAAATATATAAAAATTTCAGCAAAATCGAAAAGGGTCGGGTTCAAAAGTGGTCGATTTGGCATGGAATTACCCACATGTATGTATACTTTCAGAGGCTTGAACATTTCATTGATGGAATAACAGATAAGAGGCAACAAATCAAATTTGTCCAAATCTTTGCTGGTGATGAGAAGTGCTATTGGCTTAAAAATGAAACACTTGTAGTAAATAATGGCTGCAACTGTTAGAAGAATAAGCTTTCCAGATCGAACCTTAAATGGCTTTCATCTCGATATTTAACATACAAGTAATAAAATAAAGGTTATTAAGATTACCAGCTGTCGTTTAATTTTAGAATTTGGAATATCTACATAAACGTGTTAGACAATCAATATTATTTGAAAATGCTTATTAAGCTCTGATGTCCTTAATTAATATTACAAACATTCTTAATGCAAATGATCAGATCGTGGAAAATATTTATCAACGCACATAATAACGAACTGATAAATAACACAGGTCTACAAAAAAAAATCGCAGTCATACGCTTTTTGTCTTTTTGGCATAAATGACTTCCTTGTATCCTAAAACTTCTATAAAAATGATTTTTGCCGTTTGTGCACGTCTAGTTTAATTTTTATTGGAATCCGAAATACGAAAAAACACGATTTTAACACTTTTCAAAAAAATAATACCTTGCCCAATAATAATAATTTTTATGAAATAACTAGCAAATTTTATTTCCAAGGATTTGAATAAATGGTTTTAATTAATTTTAGATGCTTAAAATCGTTTTCTTTTTGCTTGACGACTGTAACAATTCGATGAACACTCCCTTTGCAGGAACCAACAATAATCTCCCATTGTTTATCCTGATCCCTTACCTCGAAACCAAGATATTGGTGATATATCAATTTAATAATATGCGATATATGCAGACGTTGACATTTTATAGCATATTGATCGCAGATGTAACAAAATACATTAGGGTTGTTCTTACACATGTACAATTGGTTTCAAAAAAAAACGGGACAAATGAAAGTGATATGAACGTCATATTCCCATTGCTTTTCGATCTATGAGCACCTGATTTACTCATATTATCCTGTTTTTGTGAAACTAATTGTAGGTGCGATCTTTTTTTGTATTACACTCATTTTGCAAAATTACACACAACAAGAATTTTGACGTAACTTCTAAATGTCATTTAAATTGTGACACATGCCTACTTGACTAAATCATCGAATTTGATTTTTTCAACTCGTGTAATAAGGGCAGTACAGATGCACGTTTTATGTGAAAAATGGCAATTTTACGATATAAAATTACGTGTAGCACAAAAATGTGACGTGATGGAAAAATTTGGAGTGCAGATTTGAAATCTACATAAAAAACTGCAATAAGTGCACACATTTTTATTAAAGGAGTATTTTGGTTGTTGACCAATGTAATCATACCTTCCGACGTTACATGTACACAAATCAATTGAATTATTCAGTTACAAAAATAAGCGCATCGTCTATATTTATAATGTAATTTACTTCTATGATCTTTGTAAGCTCGCCACCGAACAATCAAGCTGTCAACCATTATCCATTATTTTGATGTCACAAAAAGATAACCCTATATATATATATATATATATATATATATGTAGAACACGAATGTAAAAATGATTAGTTGTGTATAACAATTAGGCAAATAGCGGCAAAATGATCAACTTAAACAAGGTTTTTATTACATTGTCAAAAATCTATTTTTTGTAAAACTTTTACATGTTTTTAGCTTGTGTTCTGGTATTGTTATCTAATAGCAATTGCAGCAGGTGGTCGTCTTTACAACTATTTTCCTGACTTATTCGACGACGAAGACTTTGGGGCCTTAATAGTGGCAAGCAACTCGTTGATAAAACGCAATCAAAATGTCAGAAAATTTTGTGAGGTAAGTAGAAACATATTTTTAAAATTGTTTCGAAAATAATTTTTTTAGGACCTTATTTGTATAGAGACAGAACATGACGTTGTTGCGAATGAGAACGAGCTGATCCCAAATGCTCGGAATATTACCTGTGAAACTTGCTACAACAAGGTGTGTTGAAAAAAATATGCGCTGTTGTGATTGCTACTCTTAAATAAAATTTTTAGACTACCAAAGCGCTTACGACACCCATAACTCAAAAAAGGCATGTGATAGTTTTCGAAAAAGAATCGAACACTTACTTTCGTCTTATTACACGCAGCAGAAGAATTAATGATGGGTGCAAATGTAGTACCAAGTGATTGTACTTTTAACTAGACCCAAATAAATTTTTCAAGCCTTTTTACGTATTTTATTTACCCCTTAAAAACATTTTAGTTTATTTTTTACAATTGCTTAATTTTAATCAATTCAGAATATAGTTTTCACTGGAAAGGTATTATATATTCTGAAGTATCGATTATAACAATTGTAAATTCAAAACATCAAATTTAGTATTCTTTAACACAACTGAAAATTTGTCAAATTTATTTTCTTATTTTCCATAATTTAAGTTTATGCCAAAATTTTACAACACAACTTCGCTGTAAATTTTAATGTTGGTTTGAACATCAGAATTTTTATTTTAGATTTTTTTCTAGCTTACTAAACTGTCAACAAAACTTCACTTTATCGTAACTTTTTAATTCATTATATTGTTTCAAAAAATAACATGTGTGTATGTGTTTATGCTTTTTTAGCTAAAAACAAGCTATCTCAGCCATACATTTTCCTTCATGAACAAATTATGGACAACGGAAAACACACAGCTGCAAATAACCTCATTAAAATCAATGTTAATTACGAAACTCAATACTGATATGTCATGTCTTGAATTTCACAAATACTTAATGGCATCACCAAATATATTGAAACAAATTCGTTCTTCAGATAAGTATAAAAAAATCGAAGAATTTTCTTAATTTTTGTTAAAATGTATAATCTACTCTGCCTTAAAAAGAAATACACATGTTTTACTTATCAATTTTTTTTGTGTCCCGTTTTGAGAGAAAAAATAAATGGTCACTTTAACCATACTCTAGGGGTTTATCTGACACTGACGATGGCTGACGTTTCTATACATTTAGCAAACTTTGATACAATTTAATTTAACATTTTTTGTAATCGAGATTCAGGTGGAGTCAGTATTTTGGGTTGCCTATTTTAAAACTTAAATGGGTCATCTTAGCTGAATAACCTTGTCTACATATTTTGTAAAATAAATATTTTTTTATATATCTTGCGGGTTACTCAAAATTCGTCATATTTAGAATTGTAGAAAAATTAAAATTTGAAATTAATTATAGAGAACTACGAGTCAAAAAACGTGCTTTCTCTCTCTATTTCTGTCTCCGTCTTCGTCCTACTTTGACAATTCGAGTGATTGTACTCTTTCAAAAAACTTGTTTTCATAAATAGAAACAAAGGCGAGCCAATAACGTTATCAAGTAAAAAACAAATAAGTACCCAAAGCGGAGTTAATCCCTAGATTTCCAACAAATTAAATTTTTTGAGCTTGCCCCTTACGTATATTGTTTTATCACCTTGTAATATTTTCATGTAGTGTATAAATATCACTTTACTAGAAATATCTTTGCCAGTAGCTTGCGCTACACAATAAATAAATATCAATATGAGCAAGATCATTTTGGTGGTTCTATTTTACTAATTTATTTATTATTTTTAACAATTTGATAAATTTTGCAGGTTATAATTTTGTCCATACAACTACTAACAGTTATAGCATTCTACCCCGAAAGTTACGATGTTGACATCCACACTGCGATTCAAAAAAGTTTGTATTTACGATACATACTGGAAAATAGTAGTTATATAAAAGTGTGTCACCAAGTAAGTTCTAATTGTTCAGTCTAAGCACAAAAATTGATGCTTTTTCAGGATTTGTGGTGCGTGGAGAAAGAAGAACCAATTAAAATTCATGAATTGATTAATAATAATGAACAGCTGAATATGTCAAATGACAACGAGATGAATGTGATGTGTATATTTTGTTTCAATCCAGTATGTACAGTACACATTTTGAAATTTACAACAATACCGATAAACAAAATTTCAGAGAAATCTTGAAGCCGTACAAAGACCAACCCAGTACGAAGAACTGCAACTTTTCAGTAAAGGTCATAAGGGTTGCTATGTATATAATCAGACTAAAAAAGTGCCATACGGATGCAAGTGTTCTGAGCTGAACTAATAACAACGTTAAAACTATGAAAACATCCATAACAAAAAAAGTAAAGTTGTTAAAAAAGAGCAAATGGTTTCAATTTTGAACTCCCTTACGATAAATAAACAAAAACTTCGTTTTCACTCTTTATTTGTTTAGTCATTTGGTGAAATTTAAAAAATATAAGTATTAAAATGTTTTGAAGGTAAAAACAAAAATGTTAGACCAGTTTTTGGAATGATATCATCAATTTTATACTGGGGACAAATATTCTGTTCCACTTTATGAACACTCTATGTATGTACATTAATAAAATAATATTCAATGTACTTAATTTCTGAATAATTTTACGTCATTCATTTTATACAAAGAAGAAACTAAATATCTAATCATTAGAGCTGGGCGCTCGAAATTTATTTACCCCCACTATCGGCCCCCAGTGCCGATCGCTACAGCCTTGCCTTGCTCGCTTCTCGCTTTCGAGTTCTGGATTATTTTTGATAATTCACACAAATAGTTTTATTGTCAACGAGACGGACACCTGAACATTATTAGAATTATTATTACTCTTATTTCGTGAATATGGATTTTAAATTCATCAACCGACATGTTAGCATTATTTTTTCAATTAGTTTTGATAATTTCGAATACGTATTTTTAGTTTATGCTTTTCTGCATCCACATTAAAGCCTTTCTTGACTACGAAGACCTCAACTACCGAGATGTCATCCTGAGGCACATACACAATTTGGGAGAGAGCCTTCACTTGAAAATTTGCGCAAAAGTAAGTACATTAGTCAAAAACGCAAAAAACTGTAGCGCGATTTTTCAGAATTCTTGGGGTTATGAAAAATCAGAAAAACTGGAATTAAACGACGATGATTTCAACATCAAAATTTTTTTTTTAGATTTTTTCTAGCTTACTAACCTGTCAACAAAACTTCACTTTATCGTAACTTTTTAATTCATTATATTGTTTCAAAAAATAACATATGTATGTATGTATTTATGCTTTTTTAGCCACAAACAAGCTACCTCAGCCATACTCCACCCCTACCCTTTACATAAAAATTGAAAATAAGTTAACATATTAGAAGTTTCAAAAATATGGTAAAATTTTAAAGCGACAATGAAATCAGTTTTTTTTATAATAATAATAATATCACTGTATAATATATATCGATGTTGGCATCTAAGCTTCTAAATTATGAACTCTATGCAAAAACTCAGAAATTTCAAATTTTACGTACACAGCTGTTAGTAAGCAAATATTCCAAAAGGGTTATTTTCAGGAATGTTTTTTCTGAAATTTCACTACTCGCAAAATACGAAAGTACAGATTTCCCCTTAGAGTGCCTATAGTCCGTCAATGATTTTATTAGAACAATAACCTTCGAAACTACTGAACTGGTTACCCAAAAATTTATTTTTATTTGAAAATCATCCTAACAATTTGTCTATTTATCCCCTTTAAATGTGATGAGTTCAACTCAAAATATTGTACCTATTTGAAATGTAGTACAATTCAATTTTGATACTTTTGGTTTAAAAATGCATGCTTATTTTTAAATATACGTGCACAAGTTACTCTAAAAAAATCAGTTTAAACCGTCGAATGTTTGTTTGAAAAAAAAAAAAAAAACTGATGTTCCTCAATAACATTCTAAAGAAGAGAGCAAATGTTGTTCCAGCTCTTAAGGTACGTGTCCACTTGAGAGGGCGCTTGCGAGAAATAATTCCAAAATCAGCCCGTAAAGCAATGGTCGGGCCTACCCTCAACTGGGTAAGCGTATCGTCTTACCTGGTTTCTCCGAGTTTGTGAGCGACTCTCACAATACGAACGTATTTCGAAGTCCGACAGTGATCTCCAATAAGTCTGTTTTAAGTGTTTTTTTTTTTTTCGTAATAACTGAATTCATTGCAATAATAGACCTCTGAAATTTGAAATAACAACTTAAGATTAAAGCTGGTATAAAATCAAAATTAGAACTCTCGTGCGAGTTGCTCTCAAGTGGACACCCTTACTCAACATTTCCTTCACACTTACATAATATATACATATTTTGTAAAATAAATATTTTTTTATATATCTTGCGGGTTATTCAAAATTCGTCATATTTAAAATTGTAGAAAAATTAAAATTCGAAACAACAAAATTAATTTAATTTATAAATATTGCTGCTGTTTGTTGGTCTATTTAGGCAGAACTTCACAAGCTCCTTAAATGCAATCGAACAAATCCAGTTTTTTCAAAAAAATATAAAACTTGATTTTGCAAAATTGTATATATTTTATAATAATCCCTTCAAGAAAAAAAATAAGTCCTCGGTCTGACTGGACCACGAAGTATCTGACGGAGTAGCAAGATATCTATAACATAATCAATCCTCCTCTTTGTGAATGTGAAACAATGGTAAATGTAATCTGCTAGGGAGGATTCGTAAATAACAAATGTTAGTACTTAAACCAGGCACTTGAAACGAAAACCAACAACAACGGTTAACATATTTATTAAACAAACACAAGATAAACAAGTAAACTCAGACAGGCGCGCTTACGACCAATCAGCCATTAGTGACGTTGACCTTCGTCACCGCTACGTCACAGCTAGCGCAGTCTCGCTGACTACCACTAAAGTCGAACATGCACGCCATCTATATGTTTCTTAACAACAAATTGATTGTCGTTGGAGGGACATATTTCAATTCAAAATTGAAATTTAAATAGGAGAGAGCAGAAATCATATATCAAACACAATAGGATATATGAATCAGTGAGACACATTTTATCCAAATTAACGAAAATCTCATACATAGAGATTACCGTTTTCGGGAAATTCGGCTTTATGCTGGGACATCCTACGGTGGTGTGTCTGGGGCTGGGTCAACACGGACTGCTTACAGTTCGCTTTCGAGCATATATCCTTATAAATCATTATCTCATTCATAAGGAAATCTCAAACAATTAGTCAAAATTCCACCACCAACTTTGCGCTGCCCTTATTTAGTCTTTACCGAATAATAAATACTTGATTTAGCACAATTCACAATCAGGTTGTGTCGCCATCACGTTGAAACGATATGTATCAGAATTTAATTATACAGAACTACAAGTCAAAAAACGTGCTTTCTCTCTCTATTTCTGTCTCCGTCTTGGTCCTACTTTGACAATTCGAGTGATTGTGCCCTTTCAATAAACTTGTTTTCATAAATAGAAACTAAGGCGAGCCAATAACGTTATCAAGGAAAAAACAAATAATTGTACCAAGCAGACCCCCAAAGCGGAGTTAATCCCTAGATTTCCAACAAATTAAATTTTTTGAGCTTGCCCCTTACATGTATTGTTTTATCACCTTGTAATATTTTCATGTAGTGTATAAATATCACTTGACTAGAAACAACTTTGCCAGTAGCTTGCATTTACACAATAAATAAATATCAATATGAGCAAGATGTTTTTGGTGGTTCTGTTTTACTAATTTATTTATTATTTTTAATAATTTGATAAATTTTACAGGTTATAATTTTGTCCATACAACTACTAACAGTTATGGCTTTTTACCCCGAAAGTTACGATGTTGACATCTATGCTATGATAAAAAGAAGTTTGTATTTACAAAACATACTGGAAGATAGTTGTCAACTAAAAATGTGTCGCCCAGTAAGTTCTAATGTTTCAGTCCAAGCACAAAAATTGATTCTTTTTCAGGATTTTTGGTGCGTGGAGAAAGAAAAACCAATTAAAATTCATCAATTAATTAATAGAAATGAACAGCTGATTATGTCAGATGACAACGAGACGAGTGTGACGTGCATATTTTGTTTCAATCCAGTATGTATACATTTTGAAAATTATAACAATAACGATAAACAAAATTTTAGGAAAAGTTTGAACCCGCAAAAACAAAAATGCAGGAGAAAGAGGTGCAACTTTTCAGGAGTGATAATGATTGCTACAATTTTATAACTAAAAGAGTGCCAGACGGATGCAATTGTTCTTAGTTGAACCATTAACAATGTTAAAACTATAAAAACATACATAAGAAATAAAATAGAATTTAAAAAAAGCAAATGGTTTCCATTTTGAACACTTTGCAATATATAAACGAAAACTTCGTTCACTCTTTGTTTGTTTAGTCATTTGGTGAGATTTAACAAATATAAATATTTAAATATCTTGAGGATATAAACAAACACTTAGACCAGTTTTTGGAATGATATCAACTTGATACTGGAGACAAATATTCTGTTTTACTTTATGAACACTCTATGTCCATTGTTAAAATAATATTCAATGTACTTAATTTCTGAAAAATTTTACCTGAGATGCAAAGGAGGAACTAAATATATAATCATATTCAGGTAATGTTAATTTTAAATAGTTTTGTTTGTAGTTCTTTAAATATAAAATATGAGTGAATTCGTAACTTTTTAATCCAACTTTTTATTACTTTTTCTATAAATAACATATAATTTTGGTGTTACCAAAGATATTTACAAAATCACAACATGCGGTAAATTGAAAGCAGTGCTAATCTCCAGATTTACCTACATTCACATAATTAACTATTTTAAGCTCACCACTCAAGTTATAGTTTTATTAGTTTATGGCATCATGACCCAAGGGCCGCAACTCTGTAAATATAGGTTTGACATAACAGTTCAAGTCTGTTTCGGACGATGAAACATAGGATAACCACTATGGTTAAGCTATATCTGGTTAACTTCGAATTTTTCAGTTAGTTTTGATAATTTTGAATATGCATTTCTAGTTTATGTTTTTCTGCATCCACGTCAAAGCCTTTCTTGATTACGAAGACCTCAACTACCAAGATCTCATCCTGAAGCATATGTTATCACTAGACAGCGGATTTCTGTCGGCCTACGTCATGAATGTAGTTGGGGACGCCCTGGATCGCCAGAACTCAGTAACGGGTAATAATCACTGAATTTAATCGTCACTTATTCCATAAATACAATTAACGAAAACTTAATGAGTCAAACGGCTAAGTAAATGCGACTACACTGCATTTGGATCGCAGTCTTATCCCTTGTTTTTCAGGTGCAATACGCACCTGTACATAGGCGTCAATTACTCCTTGCACATCAAGCGCTTGGAAGTGGCGCAGTCGGTGCAGTATTCATTTGTAAAATAGCAAATTAGTAACAGAAATGTGTTTAACATTTTAGTTTCTTTTTATTTATATATATCTCTTTGGAGGTTTTTCAGTACACTTTTTATTTTTAAGAATCTTATTTTGATTTTTTTATTCCATGTTTAATAGAAGCAGCTTTTATATTATTTTTTTATAATATTTAACATTACACAAAATTGTCAAGATTCATCGAAAACTATAGTTTATTTGCACAAAGTAGAATCTGTTTTTAGTAGCACTCCCGGTTTAAACAATTTGCATCAATATTGCGACGGCATGACAGAGCCAAACATTAGAACAAAATACATATGATAATTTGCTCCCATTTTTTAATTACGGTTCCATAACCAGTTGTGACGTGGAGCGTTCATGTTCTAAATTGAAAGACTTATTAAAACCCCCAAAAGAACAGGTTTTACAGAAGAAAATTTCGAGCGAGCGCTAGACCTTGAGCACACTACGAAAACTGTGTGCACGGCTATGGATTAAAACGGCTGTCAACATTATCCATAACCATATCTATAGAGAACACAAATGTAAAAATTACTAGTTGTGTATAACAATTAGGCTAATAGCTGCAAAATGATCGATTTAAACAGGGTTTTCATTACATTTTCAAAAATATATTTTTTGTATAACTTTTATGTTTCTAGCTTGTGTTGTTATCTAATAGCAATTGCAGAAAGTAGTCGTATTTAAACCAGTTTCTCTTTTTAACATTTTGCAACAAATGTTCAAATAATTTGACGAAATTTTTCAAAAATTGTATCCTATCAAATTGCTCCTAATTTGAATATCAATCAGTGAAAAAAAAGTTATAGCGGTAATTATGCACTACTGAAAACACAAATCTAAAATTAATTCTAATCACTTCGCGCATTTTTTATGATTTTAAAATAAAAATTTTATTTTTTTAAATTTTGGGGAATTTTGTTGTCGTTGCTACAACAAATTTTAGATTGTAACACGTGAAGTTTAATTGTTGACAATAATAAATTAAAATTAACAATGTATGAAGCTGAAGACAACCTTGTCCGGATGCTCCAGAGCTCCACGGTTGCAGTTAGATGAATCACGTGGCAGTAAAACGGTTAATATTGAAAGTAATTTTGAACAAAATATTATCACCGTGCCGTGTACACATCCAATGTCACGATTAATGTGTATAATAACTGTCCATTTTATGGTAAAATATATTTCTAATTAAAATTATCATTCTTTTTAGTGGCGCGAAAATCGCTGCTAAAAAATTAAAATATGTTAGAGTGGCTGCAGCGTAAATTATGAAGCAGGGGTTGGAGTGCTCACCCTTGCTAAATTCTCTTCTCATATTCTAGCTCATGTAGTGCACGGAGACTGTAACAACTTACTAGTTTAATCAATCTAATAGATCGGATTCAACGATACCAATAACTCAACACTCCGGCAATTGCCGGCGGAGCTCCTAAAGCCGAGGCCATAAGGCCGAGAATTGGCGGCAATAAATCGGCAAATATGGATCGGTCATATATTATCATAAAACGTCATTTAGTAGATTTATTAAATCATCTTTCCTAACTGAATTTGGTTGTGCGAGGTAATCATTTTTAAAAGATACTTATGGCCATTTGTAGTTTTTATAATTCGATTGATTTCAGATGGAGAGCTTTATGTCGCCTATAAAGCGATAAATTTTATTTTACTTTTTCGGCGACGGGTTCGTGTTTTAGTTTCAAATTAATGTTATAAATAAATTTTATGGAGCGGTTATTGCTGACATTTGTTTTTGGAATTTTTTAATGGAATCAATTTTAAAGTCAGAACGTTATAAATTTGTAACCATTTTTTCATGAAAAGCCAACCGTTGGTGGTTTTATTCAGCTAATAGTCTGTTATGACTATGGAAATTGTTTTCACGGAAAATCGCTGAACATAAATGTTACATTTTAGATTTTTTCCACCCTTTCCGCCTCCGTTTCGCCACGTGATTTACTGTATTTATTTTTCATATCAGCAAATAAATAATTTACTGCTTGTATATTTTTATTTTTTGGGTTTTGCTAATAAGAGCATTATATATTCGGTTCCATTTGAAAAATGTCGCGTATTCCCGACGTTTCATATCTCCTAGAATACGAAAAAGTAGGTCCACCGTTCCTGCTTGTAGTCCGTCGACAATTTTACTATACAAAAGTCCTGGAACCGAAAAAACCTCCCTTGCTCTCACTCCGCCAATTAGAAAACACTCTCCCGAAATGTTTACGTTAGATTTTGTTTGTGGATCTGTGCCGAAAAGCGACTTGTCGACAGTTTTCCGAAAGGAAATGCATTACTTGTACACTTTGTCTGCATTAGCCTGGCGGTTCTGGTTTTGCTCGCGCCGTACGTAAATCAAAAGAGCGAACAGCGTGGTGCTTTTTGCTTTAAAATATTTTCTACATAACGTAACTATCCACTTAGCCAGAGACCGAGCCGACATATGTGACAACTCTCCATTCCGCTACAATGAATCACAAATTTAATCTCACAAATGGATTCAGACCGCATCTCTGCTGTGGACGAGCTCTTGGCATTCGTACCAGCCATATTGCCCAACGCATACGTCATCATCTCATATAACCTCAAGCTTGTCAGAGGACATTCATCTTTCACCACTTGCCGATTTCGGCGGGAGGACTGGATCCTGCTGGCAGGGGTTGCTAGGAGAAACTGTGGTTGGAATGGAAGGGAAATGTCGGAAAATGCTTGGGAAAAAACTTTCCAGGATTTTACAAATGTCAACTAATAATTTGTAGTTGAGGTATATGTTCATATTAACAAAAAAAAAACTGTAGATTTACAAATTTAGAACGACTTGGAGCAAGAAATAATCAGGTAATATAAGAAATTGATGGACATCTCACTGGAAAAAACGATTTTCAATTTAAAGGGGAATTTTTCGACCTCCGGCGAGCCAGAAAGAAAGAACAAGAAACTTCAAAGAAAAAACACGTGAAATCTCTATTACACGTATTACCTACTACATATTTTTACATAAAGCATAAATACGGTATACGCTATACTTTTTTTTCGGTTACAATAAACAATCAGATGTCTTTCCAAATTTTCCATTGTAAAATTCTGTCTTTTATTTGTTAATAACTTTTTATAAAAAGAAAAACTTCTTTTTACATCAACAGATATGTATTTTAACGCACTAAAAATTTCGGACCTAATTCTACAATAATATCTAGTGATTCTCCACTTAAAATCAAACTGATGCTTTCTAGGAGCTTGTAACTAGTATTTTTACCAATTATCTCTTTTATTTTTTTAATTACAGGATTGCCTATTTTTACTAATAATACTATAAACTAAAAAGCAGTGGCGTATTTAAAGCAGATAACCAACAGACAAAAATGTTTTTCGAAGTATCAAGAAATCGAACTATCAAAAAAATTTAAAAATCGAAAAATTAAAAAACTGAAAATTCTAAATCCGAAAAGTTGAAAAAAAACTGAAAAATCGAGAAATCGAAGATTCGAAAAATTCCAAAACTGAACCACCGAAAAATTGGAGAACTGAAAAATTGTAAAATCGAAACGCCGAAAAGTTGAAAAATTGGAAAGTCGAAAAATAGGGAATTCGAAATGGCCCAAAATCCAACAATCGAAAAAAATTCAACATTGAAATAACTAATACGAATAAAAAAAATGAAAAATCGAAAATTGAAAAATCGAAGCGTCGAAATCTGGAGAAATCGAAAAATTGAAAAATTAAAAAATCGACAAACCGAAAAATCAAAAATTTTAAAAGAAAACGAAGGATCAAAATTGGAAAATCAAAAAAGTGAAAAATCGATTAGGTAATCGAAACATCGAAATGTCGAAAAATCGAAGAATCGAAGTATCTATTAAAAAAT